GCCTCTCCCCCCCGCCACTCTCGTGGCTCGGGCTCGTTGGCGCATCCGACATCTCACAAACCCTACAATGCAATAACAGTGACGAAGCAATCACAAACCAACCACTGCGCTTTCTCGGTGAGGTGTCTAATTTATACGCGACGCGAGGGAAGGGAATTGGTGATGGGAAGGGGAAGTGAAGGGCGAGTGAGATCCGAAATTGAGACGGGTGGAGCGAGTTTGAGAGAAGGAGAGTGAATTATTACCGGTGGTGTGAGAGGCAGAAGGAGAAAGGGGAATGGTGGTGGTGGGTTTTTGTATTTGGCGCGAGAAGGAAAGCGATGATTGGTGGAATGGGGTTATCAAGACAAATCTAAGCAGACAATATGAGATAGGAACGAGGGGGATATTGATTTTCACTATTTTTACTTTACTGCTATCTTAACCGTTCATCTTGTTTCTTCCTTCACATTTTTTTATTTTATTTTATTTGAGATGCTCATTTTTAACTCGTGAATTCATTTCATCATAGTAAACTTGTTTATTACAATAATTTATTTAACTAGAATTCTTTTATTTTTATTTATTTTAAATTCATTTTTTAATATCATTCTTTCACTTTCATTATAAATAAATAAATATAGCATTTTACAATAGTTGATTAGTTTATTAGTTAATTTTATTAAACATTTTTCTTTTATTCAATTAGTTTATAAATCCCTAATTTTTTAGTTTACAATTCAAATTGTTAACTTTTATCTAGGTTGTGAATCTTTTAATCGGTTTATAAGCTATTTTTAATAATGGGAGGCAACTCTCCTCGAAAATAATTTTTTTGTTGTTGATGAAAAGGAGAGAAATATATGTAAGTGGTCCTTGTTATAAATTTACGATATTTTTTTTTAGTTTCTCTTGTAAATCAGCTTGACATATATGATTTAATAATCTGTGTGTGTTTCGTACACTCAGTGATTTATTATTAAATGTTTGGTACACATATCTTTGTTTGTTTATGTATGATTTCCATGCCTAGTCATGAATGGTGAATTGGGACTCCTCAAAAGTTATGATTTAATTTTTGGTTACAAACAAAAATATATATTAGGATAATACAATTGTTTTTTTGCAACTGTCTCTTTATAAAAAAGATTCTATAGACTATATTGTTTCATCACACATTAAGAGGCAAAATAGTGTTAGGTAAAAATTATCTTTGTTATGACTCGTCTCACCACATTGAGTCATAAATTGACTAATATGTTCCATAATCAACTTTTCATTAGAGACAAGCAAAATCCAACCCAATCACGAGTTCATCCTGATTCCTTGTTGATTTGGACAGGTTTGAGTTTTAAAATTAGACCAATATAATTTTTGTAACAGATTTGGATTATGTTTTGAGTCATCCCAACTTGTCTTTCATTTTTTTTAATATATGAATTTTTAGAATAATTGTATATTTAGGATAAAATAATTTCTTAGAAGATAATATTTTGTATATTATATTATTATATTATATTTATAATGACAATATTTATTTTAAAATGTATACAGTAAAATATACTTTAATTAAAGTTTTATATTTCTTTTTTATTTTATAATTTAACTATACATACGTTAATATTGATATATTGACTTAGAATAATTATTGATTCGGTCTCATCTCATATATTTAGGTTTTTATCAGGTTAGGTTTAAGTTTAAATAAATAACCCAATAAATTGAGTAAGGATAAGACTAAATCCATTTAAACATGTTATTTGCTCACCCTTACTTCCCATCATCCCTAGAAAAACGTGACAACGTTGAGGACCTTGAATCCTTTAGGGAACGACTTTCTATATACAAGTTGATCAATAGGTTTGAGTTATACCCCAAAATGCTTCTTAATGGCCGCAACTATCATATTGTGGTTAATAACAATGGGTTAATGAGACTTGCATCATTACATCAAGGATTTGGATAACTAGAACAACCACTAGGCTTCCCATAAAGTGGAGTAGCAAAGTATAAAATTTTGAGGTTCATTAGATGTTTGGCACACAACCTACCCCCTAACCATATGTTGCTAGCTAATGCGAAATGACTTAAATTTGCTCAAGTTAATACCCCCAACTCCTCGAGTCTATTAAACCTATGTAAGGCTTGATGCATTGCATCCCAAGGAAGGTAGACCAATATTGTGATTGTGTTTGGTAACCTTTGAGCATTTTTGTCCATCCCAAACTATAAAGTTGGTTTTGGAAAGTTTTTTTCCTATGACTGATAAGTGTCTAACTAGTCTGATAAAATATAAATTTGAGACATTTATCTAGCACAATTTTTGTATATATTGATATAATTTTGACTAATATACTTAGAATCAAAGACGAACTCTTAATTTACGTTATCACAAGGAGTGATGAGTCTTTTGATCATATTTTGTGTTTATTTTGTAGGTTTTGAAGTCTGGAGGCAAACGACTCAGCCCTTCAAAAGGGCTAAGCGCTTTCAAGCCAGAGAGCTTAACAAGTGCACCAAAAGAGAGGCGCTCAACCACTCCCAAGCGCTGAGCGGTTCTGGCCCTAAAAGAATGAGTGCTCTCTGCCTCCTAGGCGCTCAGCGAATTTGAAGGGCTCAGCCCTTCAGATTACTTTATGTTGAAGAATTCTCCAAACCGCTCAGCCGTTTCAAGGCGCTAAACGGTTCCTTCTCTTTCCTGCCTACTCTGTTTTAATTTCAGCACCTATAAAAGGGCAGAGGAGAAAGAACACAGATCAGAAGTTACACGAATAAAAGAACAGAGACGGAGAAAGAAAACAAAGCACCTTGGAGCTCATGGGAACGCGATTCTTCGGATGATCTTTTTCTTCTACCTTTCCTATTGTTATTTTGTGCTTTCTTCTTTTATGAAGAGCTAAAGCCTTAGGGTTGGGATTGATGAAGTCATCAAACTCCTGTGTATTCCTTTTTGATTCATATATATATTACATCTATTACTCAGTGTCAGTGATTTGTATTCTGTTTTTAATGCTTTGATAAACTGATCATTTATCTTTGATATTGGATTTAGAATTTGGTTGGAAAACGTTTTCTGAATCTATATTTTAAACAAATCACCTATTAGTTTTGAAAGCCAGGGATGGTTTCGAAATTAATAGTTGCAACAAGTTCTGATTCTTAATACAAGACATTTAACTAAATGAAGTGAGGAATCATTCATTGAGTTAAATATCTTAAAATTTCTTATGCCAAGGAATTGGGTCTGAATGAATATAGAGAACTCAATGACAATGAGTAATAGAATCATTTGCAATAATCAATAGGAATACATAGGAGGGAGATTGATGAAATTTAATCCCAACTGTTCATCATATCTGTTTTCTTAAATTTAATCTGATTTTTGGTTATTTAAGTTTAAAAACATTGATCACATCAAATATCTAACATGTGTGAAAATTCAAGCTTTGAATTTACAAGTAACTATTAGTATAATAGAAATCAAAATCTACTTCACAAGTCCCTGAGGATCGACAACCTTTTAACTATATTACAGAGACTTGGGTGCGTTTGCTCGGAAAACCAACAATGACATGCCAAGGTAGACGCTGAGAATTGATTTAGACATCTTCTTTAAATGGAATTAACTTAACATTGTTGATTTTAGTTGTGTTGTTCCTTCTCATTGACATTTTGGATCACATTTTGACCCATAGCCTTCATGATACTGTTTAACTACTTAAATAGTTGCAACATGATATCATGAACTCCCAATTTTATTTGTTGTCTCATCACTTAAGAGGTAGTTGGGAATAATTTCCATCATAGAGTCGAATGACAGTTTCAGTAGTTTTGTTTCCTCCTTGTTGTATATGTAATCATCAATGACACTCTCACACAGAAACCTAATAAATGTAGTGACGAGAGTCATTGTTAGAGAAAGAGAAACAACAAATGTAGAAACTATCATGTTACTTGCAACAACAACAAATGTGGTGGCATGCTTGTTAGTATTAAAATTATAGTGTTAACAATAACCAAATATATTTATTTGTTATATATATATATATATTTTAATATAATTTATATGTTAACAATATATTTATTATGAATTCTATTTATTTAAAACAATAGTTATGCCAAATAATCTATAATTTAACACACTTTGTTATAATAAATTAATAAAGAAGATTTTTCTTGACATGATTTTTTTTATAGGCTTAGCCCTTGCAAAATGAATAATTTAGGGTTTTGGTTCCCCATAAAATTTCTTCTTTATTTTTTATTCCAAAAAAATTTAGAAATATTATTTTTGTTTTTCATTATTATTTAATAAATCTTAAGTACTTATTTGCATATTAAAAGGTTAAGGTTCAATTATTACTTTTAACGATTAGTATATATCATATTAACGTGTTCATAAATTATTAAAATAAATGTTATATATATATATTTTAAATCATCGTTAGAGACAAAAAATAATAATTTTAATTTAAAAAAACAAAAATAAAAAAAATAATTTCTTCAAGAACAAAAACTAAAATTTTCTCATTTAAAAAGAACAAAAAATATTCTATAAAAATCACAAAAATGTTTACAAATTTTAAAAAGTGAAATTTTTTTTATACAAATAAAAATAAAAACTTGTTCAAATTGCATGATATAGACACACACATAGAGTTTATAGGTTAATAAATACTAAATATTGAAAAGAAAAATTGATTGATAAAATATTTTTATTTCAAGAACAAATTTGTTTATATAAAGTTTGTTGTGTTAATTTACTTTATAAAATAAAAAATTTAAAGCGGTAAGAATTATGATAATATTGTCTCGAACCTTATTAATGTCTACGTAAACTTCTATCTTATAAAAAAAATGTTATTCCTTTTTGTAAAATTAAAAACAAATAATTAATTATTTGTTCGAAGCGAGGGAGAAGAAAAGAAAACAAAACCCATTTAAAAAACGGAGAACGATAGTTTTTGCCTCCTTGGGCGCTTCCTTCATGCGCACACCTAGTAACTGCGTCAGGGTTTAACGTTCTTCTGTTCTCTTCGTCGCACGGGAATGGCAGAGCACCAAAGTGGCCGAATCAGCGCCTATTTCAGTGCTTCAAAGCCTCTTCTTCCTCGTAAAAGGCCTTCCGATTCCTCTCCTCACCGGTAACCCTCTCTCTCTCTCTCTCTCTCTCTCTCTCTCTCCACCTTCTCAATTTTTTATCCTCTCAAATTCCATTTTCCGTTTAATAGTTTTTTTGGAAATCGAATCTCACCTAAGAGAAACAAAACACCGATGCATTTTCAATTTCAAATGCCGCACGCAAGTTGATTTCGTTATTCAAAACTCCACAATCTGTTGCTGTATGTAGAATCAAGAGTGCCGGTGACGTTGATTCCGTTTCCGTTGCGAAGAGAGTTCCTCTTGCGGAGGTGTCGCAGAACAGGCTCAGTGCAATTCACAGCAGCTTCAATGCAAGGACTGTGTCACTTTCTGCAATCGGTTCCGCGGATGAGAATCTGTGTCGATCTCTTTTCGAGAATCCAAGGAGAGAACCTGAAGGCTCTGAGCCTAAACAGTTGGATTACTTTACGATTCTCGACGATGATTTCGATGAGTCTGTTTTGGAGCAAATTGACATTTTGGTTGAGCAGAAATCTGCAGAGTTGGCAGCAGAGCAGCAGTTAGGTTGTAGCTGTAGCGAGAAAGTTTCGAGCGAGAGCAATGTCGTTTGTGATGTTAATCTGAGATCAAGATTTAGTACTGTTTCTGAGGGTATAGGAAATGGTTACCTGTTTAGCTCAGGGGTTGAGCTAGATACTAAAGAAGAGGAAGTGGATACAAGCTGGCAAGGTTTACAAAGTTCTGAAAATAGCACGATGCCTGAGGAATATTCGAAATACTTGCAGTCCCTAAATGACAGACAAAGAGAAGCAGCTTGCACCGATATTTCAACCCCTTTAATGATTGTAGCTGGTCCAGGAAGTGGAAAGGTTTTCTTCAACTTTACTGCACTGCTTGGTCTATACTCAATTGCATGTTATTTATTTATTTTTAGGTTTTGATTTTCTTATTGGAGCTGAATTGTCTTTTTTATTTATACCAGACATCCACCATGGTTGGGCGTGTATTGATGTTGCTCAATGAGGTGATGAATTTTTTTTGTGCCATGAGATATAGATACTTTGCTCTTACTTGTCTTTGATTCTTGTCCAGCTTTCTGTATCTTTCTGAACATAGTGTTTTTACCTTACACATTATATTGTTTATAATTTTTATTTTCCGCTAAATATATGACCAGGGCATTAGTCCATCAAACATCCTTGCAATGACATTTACAACAGCAGCTGCTTCTGAAATGAGAGAACGTATAGGAACTATAGCTGGAAAGGCAACAGCTAAAGAACTTACTATCAGTACTTTTCATTCATTTTCCTTGAAACTTTGTCGTTCACATGGAGAAAAGTATGTTGTCCTTAATCTGTTGTTTATAAGATACCATTTGTGTCCTTCTCTGTCTTTTGTTTAAGATACTAAAGCTGTAGTTAATTTCCTTGTTATTTTAATGCTAATTGTGGCATTTATCATAATTCATTATCTATCAATCAATTCACAAACTGATAACCCATTTGTATGAATGATTAGTGTTGTTTAATATATTTTGTTGATTTGTTTTACATGAATAACTTAACATGCCGGGATTAAGTTTGCAGAGACAGAACAGCTAGTCTAAGGAAATTTTCTTATATAAAAGATGACAACATCCTACATTTTAAGAAGTAACAAATTCCATTTGGTACATATAATTCCATTTGCTTACTATTGGGACATAGTGCCTTAGAGGAAACTTTTTGGTGAAAGGAGATAAAGAAATAAAAGAGTAATATTTGAGATAAACTAAACATGAACTAAGAATTGGTATGCCGCATTTGCTTTTAAAGCAATATTGCCTAATATTTGATCACAATGCATGCATATATTATATGACTGGTTCTGTGTGAGCTCTCTGTTGTATCCATATGATTTTTTTCTAATATTTGAATTCAAATTACATTTCAGGTTAGGTCGTACATCTGAATTCTTAATATATGGACAGGGGCAACAGCGTAATGCAATTATTGAGGCCATTCGCTTATTAGAAAATAAAAAGAGTGGTAACAAAGATGGTGCATTATTGATTGGTGAATTGTCCAATAGTCTAAAGAATCCTAAACAATTCAAGGATAAGGCAAAGAAATGGCAAAATTTTGTGACTCAGGTATTTGGTTTATTCAAAAGAGTAAATCATTCTAAAGTCTAAACCACCTTTTGAAATACTTTTGCAAATGCTACATTAATCTCTCTCAATTCTTATGTAAAATTATAAACACACTCATTGTATATATTAAAAATAAAATTGTATGTTTACAGAGAAGTCCTGTTTTCTGTAGAAGTTGATGGTTTTTATTAGAAGCATCTTGATACTAGTGTAAATGTAAGGTATAGTGCTCTAATTAAAGAGTAAAATACTATTGTCATTTTAATAAAATCTTTGCTAGGGTAAAATATCATGGTGTTGTGGATCAACTATCTCAGGCTTAAACTATTGGGGAAAAGCACATGAATAATTTTATTTCTGACAAGCCCAAGCTACTTATTTTCCTCATGTTTCTTTGACTAATAGTGCATAATCTGAGAAACATTTGTTATTAAATATTCCATTGTAAATTGTGACTTAATAGAAGGGTATCTTCTTTGAAAAATCAATTATCATGCAGGAACTTACCCTAAACTATATTTTCACCAGTTTTATATTTCCACTATTTACTTAATGTGACTTGCCTTGTATCTATACAAGGACTCAGTGGGACAGATCTACATATGTATAAAAATGTCCAAAGCTTCACCTGAGACAATTGGTCGTTCATCTTGTTAGGGGCTGGAAAGTTGAGCTGTTTGCTTCTAAATTATTAATTAGGAATTTTAAATGAAATATGCATTTCTTAGCTGCTACATAGCTTATAAATATTTTTCATTATTTAATTTTTTAATGCTTCAAATTAAATATTAATCCGATCACGTGCAATAAATTTATACCATTTCAGGCTAAAGCTTCGGGAAGAACTTCTTCAGAATATCGTGAAATGGGCAACGAAATAGGAGTAAGCTGATAAAATGGCTTTTCCACACATGTGCACAGACACTGACTTGTTCTGCTTTCACATTTTTTATTATTTTTTTTTCTTGATTGTAATCAGGCTGAAATTCTTGAAAATTACAACAACATATTAAAATCTTGTAATGCTCTGGATTATCATGACTTGATCAGCTGTTCTGTGAAGCTACTCAGTGATTTTCCTGAAGGTAAGAATTTTCATTTTCATAAGTATACAACTAATTCAGATCTATTAATTTGTTACTGTTAGTTGGACTAACTTGTGTTTGTTTAATCTATGAATAAGTTTTCAAAGAATGTCAGGATTCATGGAAAGCTATTGTTATAGATGAGTTCCAAGATACTAGTGCCATGCAATACAAATTTCTAAAGATTCTTGCATCTCATCATAAAATAACAATTGTTGGTGATGACGATCAAGTATGAATTTTTTCTTCTTTATCTCTAAAATTTGATAAGTCTATGATTGGATATTTGTATTGTTTTGTTTATCCCTGTGCACTTAAAGGATCATCTTTGTAATCATTGGTCTAATGTCTTATTTTTCTTACAGTCAATTTACAGTTTCAATGGAGCTGACATTTCTGGATTTATTTCCTTTCGCAACGATTTTCCAAACTACAAAGAGGTTTCTCTTGTTCTTGGATGATTATGCCTTATGCTACATACTTAACTCTTAATTGGTTATGTACACCCATATATATTGGTAGAGGAATGCACACATTATATCCTTATTAAATGTCTTCATTTGGTTACTCGCATAACGTTTTGGTTCAGATTAGGCTCAACAAAAACTATCGATCCACACGTTGCATTGTTGAGGCTGCATCTTTTCTTATTAAAAATAATTCCAAGCGATGTCAGTTGAAGAGTGTTCTTACTGATAACTCTTCTGGATCCAAGGTTACATCTTGCTGTGTGCTGTTTTGAAAAGTCTGCTTAATTGGGACTTTCCTATTTATATATTTAAAATTGATTGTATTAATAATCTGCAGATAGTTATGAAGGAGTGTCACAATGAGGATGCACAATGCGCATTTATTGTTGACAAAATCTTAGAAATTTCATCAAATCATTCAGCAGCTAACAGTTGTTATGGCAACATTGCAATTCTCTACCGTAGGCAGGTGATGTCTCTTACTATTATAACCAAGTACAAAAGCTATTACCCTCTATTTGACTGAATTTTGCTACTCCCTTTCTTCCTGTTTCAGATATCGGGGAAAGCCTTTCAAATGGCTTTCCGTGATAGGAAAATACCATTTAACATTCACGGTGTGGCTTTTTACAGAAAAAAGGTAATTTTTTTTCCAATTAAGTTATAAGGTGTTTATTTCTAACAATTTCTAATTGGCTATTGTTAAAATATTAACATTCCTGGGCCTTTAAGTTGGTCACTAGCTATTTTATGGTCATTGTAAACAGTAGGATTTTATTTCCAGGTATAGAGAAGAAGGATGTCTAAATGTTTGCGTCTCATAGGTACACACACGTTAATGACACATTAGTGTACAAAAGGAAATCAGTCACAAATACAAAAGAAAACTATCAAATTCAAGGATTTTAAAACCTGATTGGTCATTGAACCACAAAAGCAATAGTTCAAGGTTTAATGATTCAACCACGATTGAATTGATTATATTTGAATAATATTATTTTAATTTTGAACATAATATATTAAGCAATATTAAAAAAATAATATTATATTTATACCTTCATAAATTTAAAAATTAAACTCCACTAAAAAAGTAAAAATATTATAACTCATAAGATACAATATTCAAAATTAAACATGAAACCAGATCAAATGTCACAACATTTAAGTTCAACAATATACGATAATAACAATTAGTAAATACAATTAGAAACCAAATAAATATAATTGATATAACTATCAATCATCACAATATTGGATTTATTAATTAAAAATACAAGTTTTTTCAAGCAAACAATTTGTATAGTTTATGCCCAATTTTTCTTGAGTTGTCCAGTTTTGAACTAATTTAACTGATTTTGCTCTGGTTCTTTGCAAGGCCGGTTTTTAGGATCAAATGAATTGGTTTGGTGTCCTCTTGTTTGGTCCAGTTTGGATTTTGATAACATGATCAAACTTTACAGTAATGGCTATGCTACAGAATTAACTTGGGTAACTTGTAATATTTAACCACCCCCCCCCCCCCCCCCCCCCCACACTC